CCAAACCACCCACACCCACACCCAAACCACCCACACCACCCACACCCACACCCAAACCACACCCACACCCACACCCACACTCATACCCACACCCACACCCTATCGACTAAATCGTTTTCGTTTAAATTAAGAGATTTTATTCATAAATTTTGCTATGCATTCTTGTAACTCTATCTGTCCACGTAGCCGTTAACCGATGTGGACGAAATCAACTGACACAGTTCGACAAAACAAATATGGCCATGTTGGTAGCGTAGAATGAAGGAAAAATTACATGTCGTTATTTTTTAGTCTGCTGTTTAGTATAAGAAAACATGCTTTTTCTAAAGTCGATCGTACAATATAAAAGTAACTTGAATAATCTCTATGTGCATATCGAAAGAACAAGATTTTTCCATTTCCCGAAAAAGATTTTCGTATTTGTAAACTAATTCATTTGTCAGTGTGATTCCGTCGCGAAAATATCTGATAATTCGTTTCTCGCCTTGAACAAAGATTTTTTGATTTTTCCTAATAAGTTCTCTAATTTTACTTTTCAATACCCTATCAAATGGGCTACTTCACATTTTTAGTTAAGTATTCGAGTCTACTTGAACGGCCCTGACGGAATCACCGTTTGATAGTGAAAATTTTTTATCAAAATTACAGACATTATTTTTGTTTCATATTATCAGCCTAGATGGATGTTTGGGATGCAGAAGATATTTAAGGACCTTAACAATCAAGCTGGCGGTTTGTTTATGGTAGGTGTCATGTACTTCTAAGGATTTATTTTCAAGTAAGTCTGTTTAAACAGTAATAACTGATAATGACAACTTTATTATCAGCATTTTATGCTGTTTTCTAATGTCCAGCTAGATCTATCAATCACATTTCACAATTTTTATCGTTTTTTTTTGTTCAATTTTTTCTCTTAATGAATCAGTGGATGTCGTTCAACAATATATACATAAGCGATTGAACCGTTGCATCGTTCAAATGTCAAATAAAGCTTTTGTCAATATCTGACAAGAAGTAAATTGATCGATATCAGCATACTACGTCTATAACTTCTTTACATAATGTCTTGTTTAAAAGGATAAAATAATATTGTAATTTGTCAAAACGTGTACATAATACTATCTAGTGTGAATGTTAAAATGTAATCGATTAATTTTACTTTAAAGGACTCTAATAGCAGCTGAACAATCAAAGAGTTATCGAGATAAATTAAAGCAAAAGCAAGATAAGTACAACGAATTGAAAGAAAAGGGTCGTCAACGAAAGGCTCAAAAAAAGCTTCAATGACAAAATGAGAAAAGGAAAAGTATCTTGAGGACCATTGACAAGTTCAACAACATTATCGTAAAAAGACTAAACCCAAAAGTTATGAATCAAAATACACTTTCTTCCCTGATCATACTTTTCCTCATATAGTACTAAACAAATACTTTCAAAAGCAGTGAAAAAAGATCTTACGTATGTAACCAAAAAATGTGAACCAAAAAAAAAATTTTGCGACATATTAGTCAAGGTTTAGGTATATTACCGAAAGAAAAAGCCAAAAGAATACAAAAACAAATATCAGCGTCACTTGTAAAATAAATTCAAGAGTTTGGATGTGGATAAGAGGAAATATTAGACTCATATCCACGTCCACACCTATGCCGTATGAAACACCATTTAAAAGATGATATATTAGCTGTACATTGTTGCTCTAAGTCAATCAGGAAAGTATCAAATTAGAAAAAATAAAAGATTATACGTTAGTTATTTTTTTTCCATCAAAATTGTTCACATTCTCTAATAGATCTTGTCAATGAGTGATGTTTCAAAATGTCTTTTTCATCTATATATTTTATTAATTGAATAAAAACTTCGAAACTAAGTGAAAATTGATAAATAGAATAATTGGTAAATGAATAGATTCAATCTAGTAGTAAGCCTAAGTTAGTAGGAGAATGTAAGTGTCACTAAATAATCTTAAAAAAGTTAAGAAAGAGTTTTTCTTTCCATAACACCACCAGGATATTTGCGAATGATGTTTTTACGCACTTCATCAAAAATTGAAATGAGAAAAATATAGGACAATGCCGGAAGCCAGCAGTAAAATCTATTGTGACATCAAATTTGAAAAGCATTCTATTTAAACTATATCGATTCTTACTTCAATGGATAGATGTCGAAAATCCTATTAAAATATATAATATAGGATATAATTGCAACTAGAATAGTTTGAAATATTACACCAAAATTGATCACTAAATTGCTATTCAATTCAAAACATATAGATCGATCATCAGAATAGTTTGAATTATTACAATGGACTTACTTCATGCCTTGTTGCATAATTGAATTGCGTCTAGTTTTGAAAACGATTAAAGTAGCCAATTGACAAATGCTGACAGTCATAAAGAAAGCCGTATAGCATGTTAAATTGAGTTGTTTGCGTTGTTCATCAGTCTTAAAAAAAAACAAGTTTTGTTTCAGGTAGATAAATGAAGAACTACGAACCCATTCTTGATCATAGGAATTTCGAAGATTATTAACATCTTCAGATTCTGATAATTTTCTCAAATCAAAAAGATGTGATGGTAAAAAGCCATTCTCGGTGATCGCCAAAAAATAAGCTAAGAATCCAGCAGCTGCTTGAAGGAGCCCTATGAGGCCGTAAGCTATTAATAAAAGACTAAAAAAAGAATAATCAATATTTTCATTGTTCGATTTGCTATGACATATTCTTTACCGTTTGTTTACAAGTCGATCGTGCTGTACATTTCTTGGTCGCCTCTTCATAACATCGACTTCCGCTTTCTCATAAGCTAATGAAATGGCTCCTATGATATTCATAACGTCAATACATAACACACTAGCGATTCCCCATGCTAACGGTGTATTCGTTAATAAACAAATCAAAATGAAAGTCATCTTGGAAATGTTTGATGTCATGGTGTAGGCTATTGATTTTTTCAAATTATAAAACATTAGACGACCTTGTTCCACACCCGTCAGTAGTGGAGCGAAACTGTCGTCCATCAGAATTATATCAGCTACTTGTTGACGTATAATCGAACTACCCATACCTACACGTTTCAGTCAGTCTATTTCATATCATGAAAAAAGAGAAAAAATATGAACGAACCCATAGCAATTCTAACATCAGCTTGTTGCAAAGCTGGTGAATCACTGATACTGTTGCCTATCATAGTCACAATAGCACCTTGTCGTTGACATGCTAAACATAGCATTGATCTTAATATCTATTTATTGATAATATTATATTTACCTTCAACAATACAAGCTTTTTGTTTGGGATCTGTTCGAGCAAAGACAATTTCTGTATAATCTCTGAGCAATTCATCAATTTCTGCTGGTCCTCCGAGATCATTACCATGAATAACACAAGCTTTAGCATCATTCGGGTTCACTGATTGTGGAGATGTGCCTAAACGTTCTGCTATATCTTCTATTGTTTCTGAGCCTTCTGAAATGATATTCGTGGCACGTGCAGTGCCTTTCGCAGTACATGGATGATCTCCAGTGAACATAATTACTTTGATTCCAGCTGAACGACAATTCATGATGCTATAGTAAGAAAAACAAGCACGACTGAAGGTCATAAAATAGAAAATTAGGCGTTACTAACGTGTTAGGAACAGCTACCTTTGGTGGATTGATCATCGCCATGAGACCAAGAAAACGAAGATTATTCACAGGAAAATTGTATTCATTAATATTGAATGAATATCCGTACGGATATTCACTACTTGATAATTGCAACTCGCAAAAGCCTAGTGCTCGTTCTCCTAACTTACCGAGCTCTAAATATGCATTGTTGAATTGATTTCTCCAATCTATAGATATTTAACAAAGATAATGAATCATATTTAACTACAATAAAAGCACACTTACAATCGTTCATTTCCACATCTGTACCATCGATATAAATTGTCGAACATCGGTCAATCATCCGTTCAGGAGATCCTTTCATCACTAATAAATACGACTGAGACTTGTCTTCACTTTCATTATTAGTATGCATTTCATGGATCGACAGTTGATATTTATTTGTTACATTAAATGGAATTTCACATACTTGTCGATTTGTCTGACGGAATTCGCTCACATTGCCAATCTGTACAAATTAAGATTATGAAAGAATAATCGATGAAAGAAAATTCACTGACTGATAATTCAACGTATTTTAGTAGAGCAACTTCAGACGAATCACCATTGTATTCGCGTTGTAACACTGGGCGTGCCAAATTTTCTGAATCTTGTTTCAAATCAGCTCGATTGCACAACATCGCACAACGAGTAAGAGCTAAGAAAGTAGCTGAGTTTTTATCGAATGTAGATACTAAAAGTTTCTTTAATTTCTTTTTTTGTTCTCTATTGTCAAGCGTTAACTCACAGTCTCGATTTTCACTGATGTCTACAGTGACAATTTTATTATCGAACCACATATGAGTAACTGCGATCTGATTTTGTGTCAATACACCATTCTTCTCCGTACAGATGATCGATGTCGAACCGAGAGATTCGACAGCTTCCAACTTTTTCACCAAACAATTTTTTCTACTCATTTCTTTGACTATCAATGCTAAACATATCTACAGCAATAATTAAAGAAAAAAAACTTATTTCTAATTCTTTTTCACTAGTTGCTATTTACCGTGAAAGTGATGGCAAGACTTTTAGGCGCATTAACAATGATAATTATGATGAGAAGAATTACTGATTCGAAGAATGAATAACCGAAACTGAGTGCAATGATGAAGAAGGCTATACCAAGAAAGATGGCTACAAGCGTGATGTTATAAATCGAGTGAGAAATCTCTTTAGTAATCGATGTGCCACCAGTAGATTGATTCGAATTCAAATTGATACAACGACCAACTACAGTGAAATCACCCGTACGAATGACAAGACCTTTGGCGAACCCTGATGAATCCTTAAATACTAATAAAATATTGCGTGAAAGGTATCATACAAACCTTCGGTTGCAATGGTACTACGAAAAGCCAAATTGTTCGTTTCCAATGGGTTATTATGAGTAAGTTCAGTCGAACGTCTTTGTGGTTCAATTTCTCCAGTGAGAGAAGAATTATCGACTTTGAAACTGCTCGATTCGATAATGCAAATGTCAGCTACTCATGCAGAAAATTATATGAAAATTTGTTGTTTGTTTTCAAGAAACAAACCAGGTATGCTGTCACCAGATTTAACTTCAATAATATCACCTACCACTAAATCTTCAATGTTGATTTGATTTTTCTCACCATTTCGAATAACAAGTATTTGCTAGATTGAGAAAACAAGATGATGAGACAATAGTTCACAATATGTGAACTTACTTGTGAGGCCCTATATCATAAAGAAACATCAATGAAGAAGATTATTTCGTAGACATTCAGAAAGAATCATCTTACATTTTTGTGATTGAAGCCATAGTTGATGAACTTTTCGATTCTTGATAGTATGAAAAAAAGACAATAGCAAGTTCTTCGATAATCAACATTATACCAAGCCATAACTAGAATTTTTCTAACATGTACATATGAGAAAATAAATGGTTGATACAATGTACATAGCTGATTGATGCATTTTCGTCATGTGTAGCAGTTGAAAAGCCGTACATAATGAAATATACAATCACACAAATCCAGAACACAAGTGAAAAGCCTCCAAATAAATGTCTATACAATTTCACCGATTTGGATATTGGTTTTGGTTGTGAAAGAATATTGGGACCATCACGGATCAAAAGTTCTTTCACTTGTGCATCTGTTAAACCCTATACAGATGAAAAAAGAGTTCGAAGAGAACTGCTATTTATAACACTCACTGTATCTCGATCAGTATTGTAGCGTTGATAAAGATCAGCAAGATTTAATCTGTGATCATCCTAAATTCATAAAAATAACAATTGTTTTTTTATTGAATTTTACTATGAGTACATATAGCAAGGTAAAATTAGATTGATATTTGTTCACTTACAATTTCTGCTGTCTGCTCCGGCACTTTCAAGTCCATTTCTCTAAAGTAAACGTGTTAAATTCTTTTAATCATCTTTTTTCTGATTGTATTCTTATCTGTACATACTTTTTATTAACAACAAATTATTTTCTCCCTTCTCTGACCCATTTCTTCACACAACACAAGATGTCATCAACTACTATATTAACAATACTTTAACCTTTTACACTTCCTTACCTCTTCTTCTACTGTTTCTTCTTGTTTTTGAAATTATCTTATCTACAACTGTCTACCTTAACCGACAGAAACAATAAGGATGCATGTCAAAACCTTTGTTAATTCTTTATCAATATTACTGATATTATTCAACCCATGTTTTACGAGCCTACAATAATTTTCTTCAGATAATCTAATGTTTCAGTACACATAAATATATTTGAAAAAAAAAACATACCTATAGAAGTTTGCAACTAACTATACTGCGCCTAAAATGAATATAATTCATTACCTACTAAGGATTTTCTTTTTCTTTAGAAATAGTTTTTTTATTTAATTATTTAGACTGTGCCTGTATACGTCAAAATCCGTCTATATACATATAAATGCATAATTGCATAACATTGATTCTTCTTTTTGGTTCTATATATGCTTATACGTCAATACACATTTATTATAATATTTAAAAACTTTTTTTGATCATTTTTAAAAAGATAAACTTGACAATATTCTTGTCAAAACGTAGTTATTTTCGTATGATGTAGAATTTTTCGTTCCAATAATGACATTTGAAACAATCGCAGAAGGCATACCCCGCAGTAAATATTTTCTAAGCACGATAAAATTATTTTTCAAAAGACTTTCATCATCTCATGCTCTTATAAACGTGCTATTTGGAATGAAGAATCCTGCATCATAGGAAAATGAATATGATTGGTAATCTATTCGATTGATTTTTAACAATTTTTAACTGTAGTTAACTAACATTAAAAAAGTCATACCTGCATACGCTCATTGAATGTTCGTTTTGAACAAATATGATATACCAATGTAAATCAATGAATTTGATCTAGATATTCTTCTGAATGTATATCTTTGACGTCGTTGATAAATATCAGTATGAATTTGTTTTTCTCCTCAAGATGAGTGATGCAAAAGAAGACATATATGCAGAAGAAGATTGCTAATTGATATTTTCAGAAAACTAAATTTATGTTGTCGTCTGAGTAATTGAATAGATTTCAAATAAAAAAATAATTTTTTTTATACCTTCTTTTTTCTCAATATATTATATTTCTGCTATAAAAAAAATCAATAGTGTAGCTAATTAAATGAACATGTAACAGAAACAACGTCATAAGATCTTCATCTGACTTTTGTACTGATTTGTTGTTGCTGCAACAACATTACGAACAGTCTTAATCAACTAATCAGAGAATGTTGTCAAGTGATCATCAAGTCTCGAGCTAATACATGGGTTACAAGTAAATCTCAGTGGGGACTATCAAAATTCTACCAAATGTTTTTATAATTGCTGCCACTGTTCTACAATTTACTATTCTAACGAGAGAAATACTTCATGTGTTAATCGTAGATCAACTTGAGATTTTGTCCGAAGTAGAACTTGAAAAGATTGAAATGCTGTAAAATAATTCGTCCTCAGGATCTGTTCTTCTCCAGTTGTGACTGTTTACTGGATTTCCTTCTCAGACTTAGTATATGTGAAAGAAAAACGTAGAGTATAGAGTTTAGACCTGGAATTTTGTTCATCAGAGAGGTCCTACTATCACGAAATTTTTACGATTATTTTGTGATAACAAGGCCTCTATGTTGGATAAAGTTTCAAGTCTAAATTCTGTACTTGGATTTTTTTTTCGTATATGCCAAGTCTGAGACTGAAAACCCAGTAGACATCCACAACTGGAGACGGACAGACCATGATGATGAATTATTTTATGGATTTCCAGTCTTTCGAAGTTCCAATTTGAATAAAATCTCAGGCTGCTCGGTGGTTCACACATGGAATAGTTCTTTCGTTAGAAAATCATTAACCAGATATGGCAAATATACGTACATTGATAAATTTAAAAACAACGGCAGTAGCACAAACGCTTAGCAGAATTTCCATAGTTACACTGGCTCTACTTGTAACCAACGTATCAGCTTGAAGCTCGATGATCACTCAACAATGTTTTCTCGTTAGCAGAAATACTCCAATGGTTGTCTCAGAAACAATGGGCCTCTCCATGTTTTAATGGTTTCTCTGCTGATGTTCATCATATCTGACTTTCTCCTGTTGCCAAAACATTCGTATTGTCATTTTCTACAAAATGGTATCTCTTTGATTAATATTATTAACAGCTGTCCATTTTAAAAATACAGTTCACATAATAGGTCCATCTCAAAGATTTTTTTAAAAAGAACTTTTTCTCAATGAAAACGATAAAACAACGCGAAAGTATATATTACTCACCTAGCACAACAATAATATCAGAATCATTTTGTCTCCTTTCAGCACGCAATATAGCTCATCATATAATGGTTTTTTAGTTACTGTGAATTGCTTTATTCGAGATAGTTTCTCTTCTTCTTTTGAGATGAAAAAAATAATTGTATCTAAGTGTAATTTTATTCAAGACCTGAAACGTCTATAGAGAATAACTTTGACAAACAGTATTTTTACAATAATCTCTGATTTGAACCAATTATCTGAACTGTACTTTGAAAAATGATCGATGGTAATGATATTAATGAAAAATACACGATTTTGTAGAAAATGAAAATACGAATCTTTTAGACATAGGAGAAAGTTCGATATAATGAATATCAACGGAAAAGTCATCAAAATACGGAAAGATCCATTATTTCTAAGACTTATTAGATTCTAATTGTCTTCTTTGTGGAAGATAACTAGCGCAAATAATTTTAAAAGTTCATATATGAAAACAAATTACCTATAATACTTTAAATCACAGAAATTCATTAACACTGAAAATTATACATAACTGTGTCAACTTCGAAAATACTTACTTCGAGAAATCGTCGAAAAAAATGTTGTCGCATATAGTATGCATGTGTATTTAGATGGATGGGTGTATTGCATATTAGTATGAAACTGTTTGTAACGAAAAAATGATGGTAGAAGGGACATTGGTATGAGAAAGATGGCGATACCTTCTCTTTGTTATCCCATCATATCATTTAATCGTCTTATGACGATTGATGATAGAAGTGATATTAATGTTGATGGTATAACACTTTATTCTATTCCTTCATATCATACAATTGTCTGGTTTACATATAAAGCACATGTTTATGTATTTGAGCAGAAGAAGAGAGGATGAAAAGAAAGATGATAAGGCCAAGGAGAGAATAATGTAATGATGAGCAAGTGATGAGATCATGAAGGAGAATGATATGTATAGTATACAATTGAATCGTGTTACACGATGAGAAGCGCATTACGATAGAAAGAGAACAAGGTTTAATCACGCATAGACAAATGTAAAAGCAACACGACCCATGAACACTGTGCATCATGGATTGTATGAGAACACATTGAGAAATACAAGACATCATTTAAGATAATATGCCTATTGGCACACTATTTCTTTGTTATTGTTTGAGATGCATACTTTTTGTATGAATAAATATGTCATGTTGACATAAATACGTACGTAGAATATAATACTTTTTGAGGGAACAATCTGTTAATCAGAAATTACGTCTTAGGTTAGTAAAATATACATCGATTCGCAAGAGATTTAGAAACTGAAAAGTTCTCTTAGGTTTTCTTTTCTAGTTTCAAATAGGTCTACATATAACTTTAAAATAATCTGTCAATCTATGTCTTATTCTAATGTATTAAAGACACGTACATTGAGTGGCGACAAATATTTAAAACAGCACAAAATTCTTCTACTGCTGAAAAAAATATTTTCTACTACTCTAAGAAAAAAATATCTTCGCTCTTTCACTAACATAAGGTTATATGCATTGTCAACTGAAAAAAAAAATGTGATAGACTGTTTGTTGGCCTGAAAGTAAACATTTTTTTTCTTTCGGTATCCATATGTAAAATAACTTTGTTTCTCTTTCTTCGTCGATTATTTACGCTGCATGCGTCGGTAACTACTTGCATTATGATCGACGATAGAACGGAAGAAAAAAAAATTCTACCCTGCAAAACACCATATTAATCAAGTGGTTGTTTTTATAAGACAAAATATAAGAAGGTCCACGTGTTCGAGTGCAATCAAACTGCGACTCGTAACTGAGAATACTGCAATGCAGTTAAGCGTCACAGTTTATAAACGAGACTCCATAAATGTTATTTTGATTTTATTCTTTTTTAATTGCGAATGTTAAAGAAGCTTTTACCATAGAAAAGAATTTAAAAGTTTGAAAAAATTAAAAACAAGAATTCAGAAAAATATATTACTAATCAAAAAAGTTTTTTTAAATTAAAAGATCCTACATAAAAAATTTTTCAAAGCCGAATTTTAAAAAATTAAACACTAAAAACTGAAAAAATAAATATCTAGAGGAAGAAAATAATTAATATCTAGAAAGGTAGAAAAACTTGAAAAAATTTAGAACGTGAGTGAGATGTGGGTCTTTGAAAAGATTATCCACACTCACAGCCAAATCTCGAGCGAGGAATTTAGAATGTTCTACTCATGTGGGTGTGGGTGTGAGTTGCGGGGTGTGGGTGTGGATGTGGGTGTCGGTATGCGTATCAGAGAACAACAGGTGAACACCCACACCCACACCCACACACCGAAATGAAATAAAAAAGATAAGATTCTGAAACAGCAACTAATTTTTATAAAGCGTTTATTAAAATTGGAACGGACAAGAACTGATATTACTCAACAGGTTTTTTTTGTTCGTTTGTTTTTTTACTATTAATGTTTTCCTTTCTTCTTTTTCTTCTCGAGTTTAACTTTGGAAAGATGGAATTTGAGCAGAATTGAGTTTATTTGTTGTTAAAGAAAACTTAAGTATTTTCCTCAATTGTTCTTTTTAACTAAAAAAAGTATCAGATATTTGTGAGAAAA